GACCCCCAGAGGAACCAGGGGTACCCCAAAGGACCTGTCCCTGTCCTGGCCCCTCCCCAGCGGGGATCCCCCAGAAGACTCCCCCAAGGAGCGTGGGCACCCCCAGAGGGGCGCACCAGCTGCCTCCCAAGTGGGAATCCCTAGAAAATCAGGGACCCCCTAGAAAACCAAGGAACACCCACAAGCGACTTGGGCCCCCCAGAGGGACCCCCCCACCCTCCGCGAGAGACAAGGACTCCTCCAAAATTCCGTCGGAGACCCCCGGAAGAACCCGCGACCCTCCCCACGGGATTTGGGCACCCCCGAGGGTCCCCCCGCGCCCCCCGCCCGCTGACGCCCCCTCCCTTCTCTCGCAGTGGTCAGACGGCAGCAGGATGGGGCGTTCTTTAAGGGCCCCCCGTACCCCGGGTACCCGTTCCTGATGCTCCCGGAGCTGGGCAGCCCCTACCTCGCCAACGGAGCGCTGTCCCCCGGCGGAGCCCGCACCGTAAGTACCCCCCGGACCCTCCCCTCACCGCTCGCGGGTGCTCAGAGCCCCCCAAGCCCGTCCTGCAGGACAGCGACTACCTGATGCTAAAGAAAAAAACCAAGATATTTGGTTTATTTATCTTATTTTTAGGTCACTTCGCCCCTTTTTGGGGGGGAGCTTTGAGGGGGGTGGGGAGTTTGGGGGGCTTCGCTCCGGGGGACCCGCCCCGAAACCTGACCCTGAGCTGCTGCTTTTCTCATTTAAACGGGTTTTAAAGCCGTTAATGGGCCAACATTGGCTGCGGGGGGAGAAGTGATTAAGCAAATTGAGCGAGAACTGGGGGGGTGGTGGGCGAGGAGGAGCGACCCCCTCCCCTCAGCAGGGTCCCTCGACCCCCAAACCGTCCCGGGCAGCATCGCAGAGTGATGTGAGGGATGTGGAGGTGCTTTGGGAACACAAGGTGTTCCTACAGGGCCATCCTGGGGGCAATTCTGAGCCCCCCGAGGGAGGAGGGAATTCTGAGCCCTCCGGGGGTCCCGACCCCTCGGGGAGGGATGCTGACAGTGGAACCCCCTCGCTCCCGATTATCCAGGTGTATTTCTCGCTCCGGTGATGCTTTTCCACGTTATTTCTGCGGATCCACAGGGAACTGTGTGGAATGTACACGGGATAACAATGTTTGTGATGGTTCGGAATCCCGGAACCCCCCTGGTTTCCCCGGAGGGGTTTCCGCATTTTCAGGGTTTTCCTACTTTTGCTTTCCTGGAAGCAACTGGTTGGAGCGGCCGTGAAGTGCAGATCCCGGGATGGGGAGGGCAGATAAGCTAATTATCCCGGCTGGATAAAGGCTGTATTCCCAATTTGTCACTCCTGGGATTAGGAGGTTTTGGGGATGAGGCAGGGCTGACCGCGATGCCAAACACTGGCAGGGAATCCGGG